GAGCTATCACATAAAGGACATCTTCTGTAAAGTAAAGATGTATTTGATAGAACATTGATTACGAAGGATTGAGCTTAGTATTGCATATTGCTATTTAATAATAAGTGAAAATTAATAGTAGAGTAATTCATAATGAATAATTTTTAAGGAGGAATGAATAATTAATGATTATTGATTAGTAAGTAATTCGATTAGTGTAGTAATTAATACATGTCAATACAAAATGACAAGTAAAAGTGTCGTCATCTTTGCGCTTCTACTCGTATTTTAAATAAACGTATGAAAGCAATCAATTCTCATACTCTTGTCAATCAGGTATGAAAAGGATTAAAAAGAGAACATTTATAATTGTTACTGATATCTTGCACTATTATAATTGTACGAATGCATGCATTTTTATTATTTTATATCATTTTTCGTGTTCTAATTTCTCGAATGATATACGGAATTTACCTGTCTTTTTTGAGAAAAAGCGCAGAGTATCATTGTTATTCTTAAGAAAGTATTATGTACTTACTTGCTTTGGGATGGTCTATAAATACTATCAAATGGGAAATTATAGCGTCTGTCGTCTTGTTGATACGATTCAGTTCCTAGTAATGAAGCGAATGGTACTGCGAGTTTGGCCCCTGTCGCCTGACTACCCGCTGCATCGCTCTGCGCGTCTTGTTCGCATGAATTGAGGGATGCAATGTAAATTGTAGTTACATTAAATAAATAATTTATTTAAAATTAAGCATATTTACATTACACAGAATTGAACAAATAATCGTGTTATCTTCTAATTAACAGTCATCGTTAAATAAATTAAAAATTTCTTAAAAAGAAAAGAAGATTTAATATTACAATTTACTTTATATAATTTGAATTAATGTCATTAATATTCCAATGTTTGAAACAATAATTTAATATTCATACTTTGAGTGTACATATATACAACAATCTTTTTTATTTCTTTTCATAGAAATATTACCAATATTAAGATTCTCACAGTGATTTTCAAACTAACGACATTTCACACTTCGTTACTAGGCGGCAATAAAATTTGATACGAGGAACATTAACGCGATGTCGTTTGCAACTCGCATCTTCTTATCAAGCTCATTCTTAAATCGATTAAATTGGAATTCCACAATAAAAATCAATATTTCTTGCACATCTTGTGTCACAAAAAAATAAAAAAAAAAAAAAACGCAAGAAATCTTTATACAAAATAAAATTTAAAAAGACAGTAAAATTGAGGATGAAATAAAATCACAAAAGAAACTTATACAATTAAAAATTGACATATAACGAACGTAATTCATTTTCGCGAAAATTATCTCACGCATTCGTGTACTCACTCGATTCAGCCGTAACGTAGAAACGTAGCACCGCAACGGCGCCAAAAATCACCGTGAAAATATACATATTTTCCACTCGAAATTTAAACGCCCTTTCGCCCAGCACTTTCGAACACCGGCAGACTTTCCGAAGAAATAAGCTCCTACGTGGCTTTTACCTCGATTCCTTGTCAAAACCCACGCGATCTTTATCTACACACACGTAGCTCCGCTTACTTATGGGAGGATCGCTTAAGTGGTCGACGAGTACCCGTTACTCCGTAACTGGCCCAGTTCTTCCTGTCTTCCTAAGCCAATTCGAAAAATAAGAAAACGAGATCGTACGTGAGAAATTAGCAAACTGAACTCACGAGTTCTCTGTTTCGCGTGATTTCGTTGAAAATATCGCGTATCCTTGCTTTGAACGAATATTTCGATTTTCTTCTCCGAGACTCAGGTTTGCCAATTTTGGGCAGGAATAAAAATGGACTCGCTCGCATAGACGTGTCAGAGAAGGAGGAGGATTGTGTAGAAAGTCGAATTACACGGATCCGGTTTAATTTCGCAATTGTAAACGAACGACGGAAATATTATATACAAATTTGCTACTCTATGCGTTGAGTAATTATTTACACACTTGCTAATTGTTAATGGCGATTTATTCTTGCGCAGAGCTAAGATTATTTACTTTGATTGTTTATTTTTCAAGAGTATGTTTCGCTTTTCTCTTGAGAAACGATGATGTGATAACAATTGAATTGAAATTTTTCGTCTCTTTGTGCAATTTTTTTGTCCTATTGTTTGTAATTAACAATCGTTTCATCCTTGTTTTACGTTCGCAATGAAAGGTGGAGTATAAAATTTAAAAAAGCATCGAAATACACGTTTGTACATTATCTGTTGTATTTCCTCCATTAAAATACAAATCTGAGAGTCGAACAACGTTGATTATTCCTTTGTACAGTCACACTTTTTCCTATATACATATACATATACGTGAAATTGCAAAAGCGATTTACCAGATTATTACAAATTTCACTTCGTTGTTGTGTGTCGCAAACATTCGTTAGCCTTAGTTTAAATTTCTCGCGCTTCGGTGGAAAAATAATTTATTAAAATAACTTGGTTCTGTACAAAATATTTGGTATTAAATGTGTAATTAGGTCGGCTGTAAGAGCAACCTGAGCACCGTTAATATCGCCAGGAACTTTAAATGATTCGCATTTGTGGGTGATTCTGCGTCGTTGGCTAAATTTCTCCCTGAAAAAGAGATAAGCAGAATTACAATTTTTTTAATCTATTCGGCGAGAACGTAGAAACAAATTAAGAATAAAAATATCTTAATAAAATACTGCATCAAAATCACTAATTTAATGTTTCACTTGATTATAATTTTGTATTTTAATCATCGTTTAAATGTTAAGTTAAATCTTTCGATTGAAATAAAAATATATGAACAATACAACAAGTTGTCC